TAAATGGTTTGGTTGTGACCCAGGATCATTTTGACTTCAGAAAAGCAGTAGACAATGTCTAGAAGGGGGAAAAGTAAAGGTCTTTATTGAGATGATCAAAAGGGACATAAAGGCAAAAACTGACTTTCGCTGAAACAGGACTGGGGACCAGGCCTCCAGTGTCCTGATTGTAATTCATTGCTTGTTTCTAGGCCCCATGATAGAATTCTTCCATAACAGACAGAAGACTTTGTGAAATTGTAAATGAGTATGACTTCAAGCACTCTGTGGAAATATATTCTCCCCCACAGCCCATACATTATTTCTGCTTAGTTATGGCGGCTCACATTTCCCGTAACTATCAGAAAGAACTTAATTCAACTCACACCACATCACTTTAAAATTGTGCAGCTCTCTTAATCAACCTTTTGTATCATCCACAAATGTGCACTATGACCTAATTTGAAAATGTCTCAAAGTGCTGACTCAAACTGTTGGTGAATAAAGGCTAGTCATTACCATTATGACACTAATGCAATGCAAAATAAAATGAGTTGCATCAGCTGAACATTAGTTTGCAAAAATATTAGTGATTGAAGCCATTTTCTGTTCATATTTTATTTATACGTATATGTGTATATATGCATACATATGCATATATTTATTTTTTGTTGTTGTTTTCTTTGAAACAGCCTTGCAATACATTTTTAAGTGCAGAGGAAGTCACATTTTTAACACTGACAAAGCTGCCGGATTAAAAGTAGATCATATGTACACCATGATCTTCCCCTTTGTAAGATGAAGACATATTCTTACTGAATTCTTATTAGAGCATTCATTCACAGATAAGCAATAACATATGAAAATTATCATCTTCCCTGTACTTTGGTGCCAGATTCCAAGATTTCAAACAGCTCTGGTATTATATACTTCTTACTACTTTGTATCACTCACAAATTCTCTGACTTTTGTCTTTTGGAATAACAAGGATTTGAAATTTATTTCTTTTATGGACCCTCTTCCCCATTCTTTCACTTGACCAAAAAATATTTTTTTTTAGATAAAAATACTCTTTAATAAACATTGGTCATTAATTGCTTTCGAATGAAAGAAAGTAGGATACAGGACTAGAAAGTATTTAGCTTCACCACTAGTGATAATACTTGATGGACTACAACATAACTTATCTTTTTCTTATACAGTTTAGACGGTTTTGAAGAAAAATGCATGTGCTTATTTAATGCATATACATCCTAGAGCTAGTATTGGTTTCAACCTATACACTGATAATTAATATTTGAAAATAAATTAGCATGAATCTTTCCTAAATTAGAGAAATGGTCCCGATGGTCAATCAGAAATATTGCCTTGAATCCCATTTTGGGTCTCTTGAATTCTGAAAATTCTGAACATAAAAAGTTATGCATTAGAGATAAAATACTTCTGATTTTATTTATGTAATGATGCGATCAAGCCAAGCACAAAAGGAGATAGGTTGTTCTTTAAAATTTTCAAGAACAAGAAGTTTTGGCTATCAAGTTATTTATCCTGCTTCAGGATATCTCTATCTCTATCTTTCTCTATCTCTATCTCTGTCTCTATCTCTACCTCTATCTATATATATTACTGTGAGTAATTGGTAGAAAACATAACTAAATTAAAATGCTGGCAAGCTTAGTTCATTCTCTTTTTTGAAAAACAAGTAAAACCTTAGAGCAAGATGGGTAGAAATTAGCTACTATGTGATGACTTTGGTATTTTAGTCCATTGTACATTATGTAATATGTGGCTTGGGCTGTTTTTATGACCCGTATTTTATTTCCACATTAAGATAATCCAAGTTTTTTAAAAGTAAGTTTAAAAAATTTTAAAATGGACGTGCCAAAAGCAGCATTCGGGAGCACGGCGCTTCTGAGCCCGCGCGCGCGTGCACACACACACACACACACACACACACACACGAACACACTTTCAATTTACCTAAAAAAGAGGGTCTCCTTGTTTTCGCTCACATACAATTGTCTTACTTTTAAGTTACGGGGGGAAAAGGTATGTGGGTGTGATGGCTGCAAATGGATTGCCAGCCTCTTAACAGTTCATCATTCTTAAATGATAGAAGTGTAGCAGCACCCTTCTGAGAAAAATCTTTCCTGTGGATTTTTACTTTGTCCATGCCAGGACAAATTGTGTGCTAAGTTGGAATAATTCTGAGATGTGAGACACCTCCACGACTGTCCTTGGAACACTGAGGAGCTGACATTCCTCTTTGGAAGATGAGGGGAGAATGCCCCCTGCCCTCTTAATTGATGATTTACTGTTCTCTCCCCCGGGGCCACAACTGATGATCTGTAAGCTTGTTGAATTTTGAAGCAAATACTAAATATAATCAATATATATATATATATATATATATATATATATATATATATAAAACAGAGGAAAAAAATGCAATGAAAATTTATGACCTTAACATTCCTTCAGGGTCAAGCAATTTATCAAATTCTCTCACTTTCTGGTTTCAATTACACAGCCATTGTGGAAGGAACTTATTTTAGCAGGTTCATTTGCCTCAGTGGGGAATACAGGACTTTGGCCTAATGCTTCACCTTTAGTGCAGGCCATTTGAGCCTTAGAACAAATACCAATCATCACTCTTTGGGAAAAAAGAATCTGCATCGGCGTGGCCTATTGGAATGGGGTTTCTGTCAAGGTAAACGGTTGTCGGCAATGACTGTGGTAGAGTGGCGATAAATCCCGTTTTATTGCTGAAAAATTCCAGCTTCTCTCCATGCCTGACAGCTCCCCACATTCTGATACCCATTTGGGCAATTTCTGCGCTATGTCCATCTGGTTCTCATTCCCTCTCAACCTGCCTGCGTCTGATCCAGAAAAAGTGCAGGTCAGAAACAGGGGAAAAGAACCGAGGTGATGGACAAAACAGAAAGCAGGGGGCTGGCCCTTGGGGGTCAGGGTAGAGGTGAGGGAACAATAGGAAAGTGGGAATCCCAGCTTAGGCTTGGACCAGTTACTGGAAAGGGCCCTTTAGATACATTACAGAGTGACAATGACAAAACCAGGGCCAGGAAGCCAGAGGAACCTGTATCTTTTGATTCAGGTGTTTAAAAGGCACCTGCTTTAAGGTGGAGAAGAGAGAGAGAATGTGGGAGGGATGGGTGAATGGGGGCTGATAAAGGGAAGCAGAGAAGGGACAGTCCAGCCCATCCCTACTATTAAGGGTCCTGTCTCTCAGGACGGAGGACCTGGTCTAGAAGAGCACAAGTTAAGCATCAGGTTTCACGGAGCTTGGAGCCCTATCTACACAGTTGGCATGCTCCTAAATGTGGGGATAAAACTCTGTGGGAGATGCAACTTGGGTTCAAGAATATAATTTTCTATATTATAGAAGAAGAAAATTAGAGTCTCCAACAGTAGTTTCCATTCATTTTCCTAAGACGATTAATATTTAAAGAGGAACTTGTCCTAATCAGTGCATTAAGACAGTGCAACACACAGGTTCATTTGTGGAGTGACAGGACTAGCACTGAGACCCCAGGATATTCATAACCCTACGTATGATCACGTCCAGAGATGCTGTGCATTTATGCCTGCAGACAGTTGGCCTCACTCCCCCAGGCTTAAGTCCTATTGATCAACATTGCTCTTGACCTAAAATTACCGCTGGTCACCATAAGATGCCTCTCCAGGACAAAAGGAAATAAATGTAATAAACACCTGATAACAGATATAAACAATAAGACAACTTAAATATTAACCTAAATTAGACTAGGTTGGAACTGTATAACTACATATGTATAAATATAAAATTTACTTGTTATTATTGTTATTGTGATGCGGTCTTTATACTTACTGCAAAAAATAAAATTATGGAAAGTGATGGAGAAGAGCTGACAACTTTTAATAAAAAAATTAGAATCAGATGAATGGTTAGACGGTTGGTAGTTATGTCACCACTTGTTCGGAAGGCAAGTTTTGTACAACCAGGTACCCGGATTGTGTATTTTTAAGTGTGTTTGAGAGCTGTGGCATCGCTATGATTTGCAGATAGAATCTCTTATACTATATAGATACGTTTGGGTAGACAGTATGTCTTGCTGCCTTCTGGATCCCAGGGGTGCAGAGTTCATTCCAGGTCTTCAAAATTCACTTTTGGACAGTCAGACCCCTATGTGCTCCCATGGATATCTGGTTTTTATTGGTTGAATTCTAATATAAAAATTATGTTAAGTTTTTGTTGCTGAGCCGGACTTCGTAGACAAGAAATGTTGGCTTCCAATATTTGAGATTTAATTTCGAAATTCTGAAGCCATGTATGTTCAAAAGAAATTCTATAAAATGTACTTGAGATTGTTAAGTGAACTCCACATGGGACATTTATGAGGAGAAAGAAATTGTTTATAAAAATTTTGAATTAAAATAACAACATGATTTGGACTGAAGTAAATTACAGATGATCAAAAAAATGGAAGTGTGTTATTTGGCAACTTAAAAATGAATACTTTTGGTCAACAAACACAATTCTAAAACAGAACTTCCATGTGTACATATTAAAAGGCATAAAACCTTTGCTTAGTATCACATGTCTATTAAAATGGCCACAATATATGGTATCTCTAATTTGGAAAGTAATTTTAGATTCTTAGCCCAAAAGAAGCTCACTTGAACTTTACTTTTTGGTCTGTACATATCTCAGAGGTACGTGATCATTGAAACTCTAAGGGATATTTGTTTCTTTTAATAGCCTAGCAGAAAATTAATGGCATGGGGGAGGGTGAGGTGACAGCTTAACTTGATGCTTGATAGCTGTTTACATATAAATGTGTGCCCAGATTGCAGTGTCCTGTAAAAGAAGGAGAAAATAAAGAAACCAAAGCATTCATATGGCTTTTAGGGAACTTAAGACACGTGGAAGAAAGTGCTTAGAAGGCTATTGAAATATTTACAAAACAAATCATTTACATTTAACTTTTGTATATGTAAAACCCGCAGCCCCTACAAAAAGACAGAACCAACTTTTAGCTATAAGAAATATTTCGGCAGCAAAATGGTTAATAGTATTATAGCTTCAAAAGAGCCTATTGGCTCACCCTCAAGGATGCCCTGCAGTTGTTGTTAAAGTCATCAGATGAAGCTAGCCTTCTCAGCTAGCCTTTAGATTTGTCTGCTAACAGTAAAAATAGTATAATAAATCGGTAGCATATGTTGCCAGGCAAGGAAAAGTGATATAAATAAAGAGACTAGGAGACCCAAACCAAGTACAATGTGAAAAGAATTTAACTTTCAATCTATTCGTTGGCTAATTACCATTTGAAAAGTAATTTGAAAGTGTTACTGTTATTTGCTTATATTCGTCCTCATTTTTCTTTTTTTCTCTTCAGATTGCATTCTTACCCAAATACTCTTCGTGATTGCCTGTTTTGCGGCTTTGGGGTAAGTCCCAGTTTTCCACAACCTTAAGAAAAAAAAATGCATAACATAAAAGATGCCAAAAAGACTTATGTGTCCTGATGTGCGGGTTTTGTGAAATATACATGGGTTTGTTGGGGAGAGGGGAGGGCGGGGGCGGGTAATGAAATAAAGAGAAGGGGTTTGTTTCTGCAAGGATCAAGAGTGTGCGAACGTGTGCATTGCAAACGAGGCTCCCATCAGGAAAGCCACCTCTGGAATGGAAATGACAAAGCTTGGAACACACACAATCAATTATTTTCACTAGCATTTAAAATATAGAAAACAAAATCTGCTTTGGGAATTGACTGAATATTTTATTTAGCTTTTTTATTGAGACATCCTTTGAAAAATGGAGTAATATAAATAGTTTTACAAAGCAACAATATAATCAATCTCTAAACTAGAATATAAATCAAGGATTTCATTAACTGCTGGTAGCCAATTTAAATTGTAGTCTTGTCCATAATATCTATCTATCTATGTATGTCCAAGTTATATTAAAAACCTTTAAATGGCTTTGTAATATCAGCTACATCTAGCTATTATAATAATTAATGGTACTGTTTTATAAATCAATACATGCATTCTTGATAAATTCATATCCAGTTAATGGTGTAATTTAAATAAAAAATTAATGTAATAAAAGACATACAGAAACGGGCAGGAAATCTTTAAAGGTTAAAAGACAAATTTGTCTAAATTCATTTTTAACCTGTTTTGAAAAAGTTTATATTTAAAATCGGCTGAGATTTACCTTGTTTCTATAGAACAAATCTTGCTGTGTCCACTGGTATCTAGTATTTAATTTGTAAGATATTTTCTTTTTCAACTGCTAAGTTTTAATTACATACTTATGATACTGTGGGATATTTTACTACCGTTATACTCTTGCAATTATTGAATATTCCTTAGAAAAATAGAACAAAACAAATTAAAAACCTCAAACCAGTAATTTACTTTTAATACATGAATGAAATGTGAATGCTTTATTTTTTTATATTTGTAAATGAACTCTTCTGAAAGTCTCCAACGCTATCTACAAATTTTATTTAAGGGGAAAAAGAACTGATTAGTTCAATGAATTTGCATGTGTAAGAAGAGCCCGGTGCTTTTTACTGCTTTCACTGAATGAACACCCTAGGAATTTTTGAAAGAAAAGAAAAATGCGTCAAAGAGTCCAAAATATATTTTAACGCTGCACACGGGTGGAGAAACATTCTACAAAGAGAAAGGTGTATTATTGTTCTAATTCTGAAAATACATACCAAAGGCATATTAAGGAATAACAAGATTTAGAAACATAACTCGAATGTTGTGTGTTATCAAATACAGCCTTCAATCCTTCCAAATAAAATTTCATTTGGTTTACAGAGTAAGCACTTTACACAAAATATCTTTCAGAATTATGCGGACCAGTCTGTCCTGCCATTCTCGGTGACATGGTGCAGAAATGTTACTTTAATCCACTGAGCTTTTTCTGACATTTTTCTTAACATTGCTGAGCCTTATTTAGAGCAGCAAAGGAGCCGTGTGCAGTTTCCTTTGACACTGATGGGTGTTTCAAAATGTTGAGAGAGAGAGAGAGAGAGAGAGAGAGAGAGAGAGAGAGAGAGAGAGAATTGCTGCCAGTCACTTCATCAATAGAGCTACATGAGCAATTACTGTTTGTTAAAAGTTTACATTTCAAATGAAGCTAAATTTTAAAGCTGGCTCATGCTTTCAGAAGAGCTGCTGCTTGGAAGAGGACGGAAGCGAATGAATATTCGTGATTACATGTTAAAATGCACTCAAGTACTGGAACCATTTACAATGTATTGTGTTTTTAGACGAAACCTACAGCAAAACCACTCCTGAGAGGCTTAATTTAGGTTTTATAGGAGGAACATAAAAAGGACCAGGTTACAGCAACGCGCTGAAATATGGGGGTACATTTTAAATATCTTCATTTAAAAACGTACGTTTATTTTCCCTCTTGGGATCACTAACGTGTGTCTCGACGGGGAAAGCAAGGACATGCTACATTCTTAAAATTATCTGTTAAAGGGATCACATTCCAAGACAGGTTTGAGCATTTTTATTACTCAGATAACCTCTTAATTATGTCACTGCTTTCCACTTGTTAATCAGGGACACATTCAACATGGTTAAACCAGAGAGTGGTCGGTCTCGCCTTTAGAAGATTCCATTATCATTAAGAATTAGAAACTCATTTTAGCGCCATCAGCATATTATTGCCTATATGATTTTAGCACTGCTAAAACTTATTTACCTGCTTGAAATACAAAACACCCAAGAAAAGGTCTAGAGACACTTATAACAATGTTAATTACCTCAAACTGTGCAGCTCATGAAAAGCTTTAAGGGATAGATAATTTTACTTTTCCTGTCTTCCCCTTTCTGCCTCCCCCACCACTCACGCAATTCCTTTTCGAGCCAATTTTAAGCTGCTTCTGCAGCCACTAGAATCAGAGATACTCAGGGACTCTTTCAGAGAGCAAGGTGTAAGTGGAGTAAATAAAATCATGTTTCACTGTTGCTTTATCAACCCTCCTAGGTAGTTTTCCTGCCAGCCAACCTGCGCTGTTAAAACCCATAAAATTATGCAATAGTGACTTCTTTGGAGGTTCTCTAATCAGATAATGGCCAGTGTTTAGGAGGGAAGGGCCCAGGGCTATGTTGCTCGCACTTACCACTGGGGTTGGTCATTACTTGTCTGGTAGAGACCAATAAACAGCTGATTACGATCCTATAAGGAGCCAATATTTTACATTTATCATGGTTATTTATTTATTTTTTTCTTTCCTTTTTCAACTTCTTATAACAGCACGTATTTGTCAAGAAGATCTATGAGGGATAACCTCACAGGCCCCTTAAAAATAAGAATCTTCCTAGCATGAAATGATGCCTTTTGTGGAATAGTGAGAATGATTTTGGTTTTTACAAGAGCCAAGGTTTGATTACTTTAAAGTCCATTTCTTTCAGATGTGGACACTCCCCTCCCCCCCTCCTGTCCCCTTCTCTTCTCTATGACAGGTTCACAGAGTGCAATCAAGGAGTTTGAAAATGCAAATATTTATGTTTGAGCTCTGGCACTAACAGACTCATTTCGCTTCCTCTGTTCGCCTGTGATAACTGATGCTTCGTACCTGGAACTACGTTTCATTTATCTTTTTACACATGCAGATACTATATAAATAAAAGATAGTTTATGGAAAGGAACTGTCCATTTGAAATAATAATCCCAAATTTGATTTGATTTGAGATTTATATATATATATATATATATATATATATATATATATATGTAATCTTTTAAGGCTCAAAGAGTCAGAGATATAGATTTCTAAAGAAAACTTGATTGCAGCCAGGAAGTTTGTGCATTTTTGAAGGCATACTGAATTGCCATGCCTGCATGGGTTAATAAGACAAGGGATAAAAAGAAGGCAGGAGAGAAAAAGGTATGCATTTTACACGTGCTTTAAACGAATGGCGTGAACCACATGTTTAGATTTCTTGTTATAATATTATTGACTTTCTCCTTATATTGGAATATAATTTTTAATAGCTAATAGCAAATTACAAAACAGCAAGTCTTTCTAAAGTGCCTTTTCTTCCCCGAGATCCTCATCTTAGAATGATCAGCAGTTTATCAGAAGAACTGGACCCTGATTTCACAGCCTCATACAAAGCCAGGCAATTCTTGAGCCAAACAAACAAAGGGGGTGTAAGTGATTTCATTTATTTTGATAATCCTCCTCCTGCACGGGAGCATTTTGCTGTCTTTGTCAAAGTGAATGACAACAATTTGGCCAACTCTCTCTGAGCTGCACTCAACAGTGACAGGCAAATTATCAGAGGCCCTGCACTTCTTATTATCAGAGGAGAAGCCATCAGGGGGACGCACGGAGGATACCTCTCCCTTGTCACTATTTGTCAGTGGGACAAGGGCCACTGCTATGGGTAGCTGACAGGTAATTTCAACAATAACAATTACTCCTATTACTGGTGTCATAAACAATTCGCCCAAGGCATGACAATAGCAAAGCTTTATAATTCAATGCCATATAAATAAATGCCAGCAGGTAACAAGTAATTTAGCTCCAATCAAGCTTTCGCCCCGGCATTAATATTGTTATTGCAAGAAAATGGAAAATTGAAAAAATTCAATATGTTAATGAATTAAGAGAGGTTCAAGGGCTAGACATGAGAGGTTGAAAAAGGGAAGCCAAAATTATTATGGTATCATATTTGGTGCCATCCTGGGGCCCCAGTGGCAGTAGTACAATTACTTGAAGCAAAGAAGGGGAACCCGGAGTGGTGTTGTTACCTTAGACGTCAGAACTGGGAAAAACGTGACATGGCCTTTCAAAATCTACCTCTCTTCAATTTCTGAAGACTATAAGTAGAAATACAAGAATGTGTATGTAATGTAGCAATTCAGTGGCTTTTTTTTTTCACCCGAAATATTTCATATGAAACAGAGGCATGAGTATCAAAGGAACATGTCCAGCTGTTTAAGAAAATTGCATCAGCACCTGCTTCCTTTACATTAAGCCTCATAATAAAACTATTTCAATAAGGCCCATTTTTATCTGTGGCAAAGGTAGAGGTGAAAATCCCTGTTTGCTTTCCAGCCGTCCACCTTTTAGAAGTGGACTAGATGATATAGAGTCCTATCTTCCTCTGTCAAACTTCCTGATCAAACGAATTTGCAATTTCAGTATTTGTCCAGCGAGACAATGTGCCATCACGGTGACAGCAGTGAAAGAATTTGAAAATCTCTAATTAGGAAAACTGCAGAGCAATTAACGCATGTCAAATTTCACTTCATCAAGTGCCACTCTAATTTTCCCTCTAAAAATTAATGGATTTTTTTTTTCCTTTTGGTATGTGTGTGTGTCCCCTTAAGGCAATGTTGATTCAAATCTGCTCAAGATGCAGTGTTGCACAGCTAAGCATCTTCTTGATTACAATCCGCCACACTTCTAACTGTGCTCATTCTCACTGCCACGGATACTTTGTCAACAGTCAAATTACACCACGCTGATAACAATGCATAATGGTGTTCCTCCTCCGAGGCCCCTGGCAGGAGATGGGCTTCATAAAATGTGATGTTTTCTTCTCCACTGTGTCTAAAGGAAGTTTGTATGACCAGGTCACTAGTCAGGGGTTAATTTTTTTGAGATGAATTTGTTCATTTCAAGAAAAGGAATGAGATGATAGACTAGGAAAATACCTCACTGAAAAAAAAAAAAACAACAAAAAACCCAGAGGAAGAATGAGGAATTGAGAATACCCGTGGCCAAAGTTTTGCTTAAACACTTTGTTCAGAGACATTTTCAAGAGCACAATTCTTGGTTAAATACCAGGTTTTTTTTTTTTTCTTCTTTACTTATGGCCTATAAACATTGGAAGCCTCTCTTGAACAGACAGTATTTAGATTGTGAGAGAAGTTTGTTTAACTGCCATATTTGCCAGAATCCTCAAAACATCACAGGACACAGAAGATAAATGACTTTTATTTTTTTAAAATTCAGGATTGTATAATCCAGATAAATGTTGATTCATTTTAACTATTTTTTATCCTCGTTGCGTGTTGCCGATTGGTGTGCCTGAGTTGTCAGCACATGTGGGAAATATTTCTCACTGAAAAATGAAAGAAAGAAACACAGCGATTAGAAGATGATTTTATGTTCAGTCTTTTTAGAGGTCATTCAGATGTGATATTTCTAAAACCTGATCAGATCCAGAACAAAAACGGGGAAATTGAAAAAAATGCTAAATGTGTCTCTTTGCAGATTCTTCGGGGAGTGGAGAGCATTCACATGAATTGACATCCCAATGTTCTCATAATGTAAGTATATTTTTGCTTATACGTTTTCTTTAATCATATTTATTTAGTAAAAAAAACCCTAAATTCATACAATATATATACTTCATTTGTTTTTAAATTCATAGGTTGAGTCCAGCTTTTCTTTCACTGACAACTAACTCAAAAATCTCAAACTTGATATTTGGAGGTTTGCATTTCCAAATATTAAAAATCTCTTCCTTCTCTGATGGCCCCAACCTAGTTCTTAAACGGTCTATTTCAGACAAAAGAAAATGACATCCCCCTTTCAACTGGCAAATGTTAGTGTCTCTCAAAACCAATTGAGGGCTCAGTGGAAGTTTTGCAATTAGATTCACACAAATTGAATTATTTTCCATTCTTCCCAAACATCATTCTTTGAAATCTATAAAAATAACAATACTGAGTATAGGGTTTTGTGTAGCTGCTTTGCAAATAAAGGTATCTTGATAAAAACCAAGCACTGCATACTTTGGAAAAACAAAACCCTGGAACAATCTCATGCTAAAACATTACAGAAGGATTGTAAAGGGAAATTTAAAGGGAGAAAACGTGATTATATAATGCAATCCAGCAGTAATCAATTTTACCTTCAATATCTTGCTTTTGTTTTCAAAATGCTAAATAAACAATACATAATGCATCCCTCATCAGCCAAACCATGGAGGCTCTGCGCTCAAATAACAGGAAACATATTCAATTTTCCTAACAGAAGACAGTTCATTAAGCTGTGCCACATCAAATAAAACTTTAATTTCTCCAGCATCAGAGTCGCAATGAAAGCAATTGAAGAAGATGAGCCATATGGTACTTCTATCAGCAAACACATATTGTTCATTCCCCCAAAGTTTTCTAATTCTGCTCCCCAGACCTGTGTAATATAGATAATGTGCTCCGAGAGCAGCAACCATGAGCTATCTAGTGTACACTTCTAATACTGTATTTAATGGGAAATAATGAATCATAAAAGCCTAGAGAAGACGGCTTTTGCTAACCTAAATCTCAGCTGTAATTTCATTGTTCTGTGCCTAAGATGCTGTTTGCCCTTTCCAAACAACAGCAGTTGAACATAATTATGCTGCTTCGAACCTGGGCTTGAAAAAACATCCTTAATATAACCAAGTTTCTATTAACTCCTGAAATTCTGAATTTAATGACGCGCCAGTGCAGACATTGGGATAACGAGCGTGTGTCATTTTAAAACCCAAATAAGTATTTTCTCCTTCTTCTCTTTGGCCAGACTGCTCAATGCATTTCTGTTCCCTCCTCCACCCTCTTCTCTGCACCCCCCCCCACTCCCCGCCCATTCAACAGGAGTGGCATGATTAAAAATGAGGAGATTTTCTTGTTATTAGCAAATTTGACATTTGCCTGATGAAAGGCACATAAAATGTGAAAGCTACACAGTATTCAGAAGAAATGTCTCCACTCCAATCCAAGCTAGCAAGATGAAATAATTTAGGTAAAGGAAACGCGAAGATCCTCGTACCTCTAGTGCAGAATGCTAGGATTGTATTATAAATGAAAAGCCCAAATATTGCTGAGCTTTTAAAGCGATAGTATTTGACACATGTGCAGTATATAGTGTTTCTTCTCTCACCTTAACTGCTTTGATTATTAACCTAAACATAATACATATGCTCAAATATGGCAATTTCTGTGTCATGGGTCCAGCCTCTGTCTGGGGAGATCTTGGGGCTGGGGCTAAATTCCTAATTAGGAATTATTTAAACATTTATAAAAAGTGTTCCTTTTCTCCCCTCAAACACATTGGTGATTTTAGCTTTTCTATTTCAAGCTCATCAAATCAATATTTTACCAACACAATGCTAACTTAAAACACCATCAGATAACACTGCAGATACATATTGAAAACATATTTTAATGGTTTTGTTTGTTTTGGCATCATATGAACCAAGGACGATTAAATTAAAAAGAGACTTTTAAAAGTTAGAGATTGCCTTTTTAAAGCTTATTAAAATCAGCATGTTACATGCCTGTGTCTGAATTAGCTCTCTGCACACTTGATTGCCATCATTAAAACTAGTTGTTTGGGTGTTGCTCTATGATGGTTCAGACCCTTCCTCAAAGCCAATTCTTAGTAGTTATTAACTTGAAATCTCTTCCCAGCGAAACTTAAAAAAAAAAAAAATTCATTCTAGCCCGTGGAAGAAACAGTCACCAAAACGTGAAACAGCACAGTGAGACAGCAATGTTAAACCAGGAAAAGACCAACAGGTAAAATAATAACTACAGTAACATCTAAAAAACACCCAGGAAAAAAAAAATCACAACAGCACAGAAGCAGTCCATTGATTATATTTCATGAATGCCTTAAAACAAATGTTTAAACAGTTTTCTGAAACAGTGCAGAAAACCTGGGCATGCTCCACTGGGCTGCAATGACAATGGTCTATTGCAATGTAAAACATGCTGGAGAATAAAAAGGTGCTTTTTGTTACCATTTTATCAAAGCTGTTCATCTTCGAACTGCAGGCAGCATTTTGCTGGAATTGCAGATATTTCTCTGTCCAGGCTCCTTTGTTTGTGCATCTCATTTGCATATATTTATCTCCAGCTGAGGGTGCTTTCTGCTCATTAAGGCCTCCCTTCACATTATTTCATAAGCCAGCTGCTAAGAGGGATTTCACCTGTGGTGACTGAGAAAAGAGGGGTGAAAAACTAAATTCTTCATAAAAAAAGGAAATCTACTGAGTCTCTTCCCCTATAAATGGGCACCATTTGTGTTAAACAGCCTCTTGTCATGATAGATGCCTCCAGAGGTCAGGGGTTAAAGTTGATTTGAAGGTCAGCAGTAAAACAACAGACAAACCAGACGCCAAACTGGTTCCTTAGCTGTCGGTGGGAGCTGTGGTACAAACAGGTCTTGAACCTTTTTCAACCTCTAATAAAACAGGGGATGAATCTGAAGTGGATCAACCAGGCCCCTGAGGCAGCAGCACAGAAAAACACAAATAATATCAATATCAGGCAGCCACAGGAAACAATGGGGCATTTCTCCGTGCTACATGCATGCTGCTATTGTTTCAAGGGCTAGGGAATTAATTCCACTTATTTATTTAAGGCGTGTCAACTCACTGCCTAAACCTGTTTCAGTGTCAAGATGAATAAAACTTTTATGGCTCATAAAATAGAGCCATTCATCTCAATGTTCTTTGTGGTGCGTGTATTTTTTTTTTTTTCTGGCATACTGAGCTAGGCCTCTGCTCCTAAATGGTTACATCTGAACCCACTGTTGCTATGATCCGCACCATATTAGAGAAAAAAATTATTTCACCGGCAAATGGATCTCAACAGAAATGACATAGGAAAGCGTTTTAGCTGCAATGTAATAGTCCCCAAATTCCTTCTAAATACTCCTCATGCGGTTGCATCTGTTTTGAGCATGCATTATTTACAAAGCGGAAGTTTTGTTATTTTATAGAAAAGCAAAGTTCAAAAATGATAGCAATAAAAAGATTAGTTTCCTAGAATATTATCTATTTCATTTTACTTTAGAAACGCAACCTTGTCGGGGTGGCCCTTTCCCATGCAGCATTTTTTGCTCAAGTTTTCACTGTTATACAGTCAGCTTGCTCTGACTTGATAATCAAATGCCTTCTTTAGCTCTACTGATCTAAATTTTATGTTTAATTTTAAACATAAGATGAATGGGAAAGAAAATGCACTTCAGTGCATTTTGTATTATAAAGTTTTTAAAAGTTCAGTTGCAGAATTAATTTTACTTTTGACTTCTTACTAGTGATTTTAATAATCATATACTACTCATAAACAAGTTAACACTTATGAAGTGCCACACACAGTGCTAAGCACATACATTTTTCTCATGCAATTATTAGTGACACTTCAACCCAAGTTACACAAACCCATGTAAGAATGGGATGTAATAATAACACTCTTCATTATTGAGAACATATCTTAGTTAAAACAAAAAGTTCCAATCCAACAAATATCACCCTTACAGCTGATGCTTTATCAGGTAACATCCGAGGACATGATTGCTTTATATTAAAATGAGCTCAAGGAAACAATTCGATACTTCACAAATTCTCCAGTCACAGCGTCCATCATGTGCATCATAGCCCTTTGCTCTATTGCAATGCAAATTGATTTGGGGAGGGTTCATTTACTAAGGTGTCCAGTTGCTTTGCTTTTCAGAGGTCCGCAATGAATAGCGTAGCTTTTACTTACAATGCTGGATTATTTCTAATTTAATCAGTTGGTATGTCAGACTTTCTCCCACGAACTCAAGTTTTTCCAGCAAGTAGATTATTTGAGAACGGCCCAGACAGGAGTTGTGCTTTCGCATTTTGCCAGTGCAACACAGATGCGGCCCTGGGGAAGAGGGGTCCAGTTTCTGGGTGTCAACCACTACCTCAGACTGAATTGCCCTTTACTTTCCATTTGATCTGGTGCATGTGCCAATCTCTTTGCCTAGGGGTGGCCCATTTACCCAGCAGTCCTGTTTGAAAATGGAATTGCTTTCAAGTGGGCCACCAGGCCCTGAGAAAAATATTTCAGCTCAAAATTGATTGGGATTTAGTAATCTGTGGCAATGTGTTCTCATTTAAGTATGGAGCAGGAGATATTTTTTTCTTCTATAACCAATTACAGTTTAAAAAATGCAAGTCGCCTTGCTTCACACAAGGAGCTCAACTTGTGGTTGGAGACATTTCCCAACTTATTAAATGTTGTTTATATCCTCATCTTTATAAACCCTCTGCCTTCCCAAAGCATTTTATAGCTCCCTCTGTGTCTGACTTATCAATTTTCTTTTGGACCTTCCACATTAAATGTAATCTCATTCCCACCCCCAAACCTAGAACCTCTAAGTAACTGGACTAAAGCAAAAACACCGTGAACTCCCTGCCAAGTCTGCACCCAACTCTCTCATTTTTCTTTTACTCTAATCTAATCACTAATTCTTAAACTTGGCCAAATAGTTAAAAATGTTAAGTGCTAGCAGAGCCTTTTACCTCCCCCTCATATCTGTCTCTGTTTATGGAATGGACCCGGTTTCCTCCTCTTCTCCTTCAGCCGGGGGTCTTCAGGTCAGAACACTGTAAATACACACAGCACTGGCCCGACCCATAAATCTGAGCAAAGGGCAGGCTTATATATTCAGATAAGCGCAGTGGGGGTGAGAGCGTGGAAGGATGGAGGACCAGCCGAATCTGACGCTCCACAGCCGTGTTCAGAAGAGAACAAAAATGGCCAAGAGCCCTTAGTGGGGAAGGAAAAAAAGGTTTTAGTCTTGAAACATCCCTACTAATTTCAAATAATGAGGTTGGCACTACTTCCTCTACATTTTTCATTCTTTCTTCCTTCCTTTCTTTCTTCTTTCTTCCTTTCTTTCTTTCTCTCTCTCTCTCCCTTCCTTCCTTCCTTCCTTCCTTCCTTCCTTCCTTCCTTCCTTCCTTCCTTCCTTCCTTCCTTCCTCCCTCCCTTCCTTCCTTCTTTCTTTCTTTTTTACTTTTTCCACATTTCTTACACTCACGTCCTTACCGAACATATTGTCTTGCAGGCAATCAAATTACACAATAAATTTCATTTATTTGCAATGTCCTTTTTTCCTCTTAAGCTCATTTGTTTGTGTTTTGAACTTTGTGTATGTGGTTTTGTGTGTGTGTGTGTGTGAGTGTGATGTGAATTGGAGTCATTTTACCAGAAATTCTTCTGTATTGTATTTTTTCAAACCCAAGGTCTTTGACTAAATAACCATGTTGTTAGTTACCACATTGAATCCCTAAGAAAAATATGTCTGAAGGAGCTGGGAATGACAAAGTGATAAATACATGGTTACATATCCTTCAGTCTTCAAAGTTTCTACATTATTCCCAAGTCCAAGTCTTTTCTGTAGGATTTTTAGATCTCAAAACTGTCCATGACTCCTGAAAAACTACCCCTTCTTGGAGATGTTCCCTTGTGAACACAGATATTGTCACAGTGGAAGATCCTGATCACGGTGACCATGGCTGGGACATACTTTGTACCACTCCTCTGACTTGATTCTTCTTTAGAAGCAACAAGTCTAAATTTGCCTTAGTCATTTAAGATGCTAGGAACATGTGGCACTTATATTTCCAATCAATATTTTATATTTTATTATATATACATATATGTAATTTTTATCTAATTTCTTTAGGTTTTATCTTTAGGCTAATAGAAAACTGATTTTTTTTGGGCCGGCCGAGTGGCGCGATGGTTAAGAACTCGCTTGGGATGCCAGAGGGCCCCGGTTCGGATCCCACATATGAGGGCCAGTGACACTGCCCTCCACAGCTGAGATGCTGAACAACAGCTCAACCTGGAGCTGGGCTGCCATGAGTCGCCGGCGACGGCGTAGGCTGCAGCCCCTGTGGCAGTGGATTGCCATGGGCTACCGTGTGTGGCCAGCAGCCAGCGTGAGCGGCCAGCAGCCGCAGTGAGCGGCCGTCCAGAAGCTGGCAACTGATGTGCCTCGCCAGAGAAGAGACCAATGATGGTGCCAACTTGGGCCAGTGAAGCAACATCCTCCACAACTAGATTGAAGAACAAAACGACAGCAACTTGTCTGTTCCCCTTTCCCCAATTTCCCAGCACTGCTCCCATCCCCCCAATTCCCCAATAAAAAAATCTTTAAAAAAAAAAAAAGAAAACTGATTTTTTTTTTTAAGGTTAATTCATGTTCCTCAAAAGAGCTTCTTTTCTTGAGTTGAAAAATTAGTGAAAATTCCAGGTAGGTAAGAGATTTTAATGGGAAAAAATTGCCAAGAGTGTAATTGGGCTGGCAGCCCACAGCATTTTATACACTCTAGCCTCACCTTGGACAAATCCTTTAAATGGTAATAATAATAATTATTACCATTTACTGAGCACTTACTTTTCGAAAGCAATGTATTAGGTGCTATATATATATATTTTTTTACTTTTTTTTACTTTTTTTTATTTTTTGAATTTTAACTTTGTTACAACAATGTGTGGCAAATAAAAGGTTATGGTCTTCGTTTATAAGTGCCAAACTCTGGTTTAAAAGTGAAGAAACTTAGCCCAGAACAAACATCTAAGTCCAGAATTTGAACATGATCCTGGCCCTACAGCTTCTCTTCTTAGCTGCCTCTCATGGCCTCAAGCTCTACGTCTTCGGGATGAGGGTCTTGGGTGGTATGGTGTCTATTTAGTGATGATGGCATTCCATGTCTGGGTTGATTTCCTCCAGCCCGCCTGATCTCTCCTGAAGCCTAGTCTTGGCACTGCCAGCGGCTCCCTGGCATCTTGGCCTGGCTCTCCTAGACCTCCTGGCCCACATGTCTAAGACTGAGTGATTTCTTACCCAGCCTGCTTCTTCTCTGTGATCCACGTAGTGTTTCCTGGGAGCACCCTCTGCTCCACTCTGTATTTCAAGCCAAAGGCTTTCTGGATACCTTGCCTCTCTCCCGTCTCACTTACCATCAGCCGGCCTGGAAGTGTAGTGGCATGTGCAGGGGGCATTATAGTCCTATTACCTGGATTTGAATCCTGGCTCCCATGTCTATGAGCTGTGTGTGGCAATGGACAAGTTACTTTACTCCTCTGTGCCTTGATTTTCTCATCTGTAAAACGGGGTCTAAAATACCCCTCTTTATCAGGTAGCCTAATTCAGAGCTTTGGCATTGCTTGGCTGAACTGTTAGAACAGCCTCCGAGCTGGTTTCTGTGTAGCCAGGCGCTCCCTTCTGTAACCCAGCCTCCTCGCTTCACCAGAGTTATTATAAAATAATAAACATGATACACTCCTGCTTAAAAATCTTTGAGACTTTCTATTGCTCTCAAATCTAACTGTTGAGTCAGGCAAAGGCCTCGTAATGCCCTGCCAAATGGCCTTTCCAGGGTCATTTTCCGCCATGTCCCCCTAAGCAATTTACACTCAGGCAGCAAAAAATTATACATGTGATATTCTTTTATGCCTTCAGACTTTTGCCCGTGTTGTGCCCTCTACCAGGAATGCCTTTCTTTTCTATTTCCATCTAGTGAAGTGCACTTATCTTGCATAGCTCAGTTCAAAAGTCACCTATGTTTTAGGGCAACATAAATTGAGCCGGTCACGTCTAGAACGTATCCCTCTGTTTCGAACCTAACATATTACATGGCCATTAGGTGCACTGTAATTATTTGTCTACCCCTAGGCTCTGGACTCCTGTGGGCAGAGAGAGTGTCTGTTTTAATTTGGTATCTTTTGTTCTAGAGCCTCACATAGAGTGGGAGCCCTCCAAATTTAGATTAATATAGAAAATACCATTCTCCTAAAAAAATGACTTAAAGTAAATGTGAATCAAGTGCCTGTAATGCTGTTAACTTGTTGAATTAATTCTTGTTATGTTAAGATGATAAAGACAGTGAACTTGTAACAAAATGAAATTAAAAACTCAGGTGCAATTGTATTGTTCTTACTTCTCCAAGATGAAGCCATAGTGTTTTCTCTAGTACACATGTCACATGTTACATTTTTCTGACACCTTAAGAAAATCTGCTAATGGAAATTCTTGAAAACGTCAGTGAATTCTCTGTATTTGATGCAATGTGTCATTAGAAATGAATCCAGTTGTTTTCTTCTCTTCCCTTACTCTAAGCATGATGTTTCATGGGAGGCAGTGTATTAGTGATTATGATCATGGGCTCTAGAGTCAGAATGCCTGGGCTTAAATCCTGGTACTGCCACTTACAAGCTATGTAACTGTTGGGAACAATTTTGGGGGGACCTGTTCTCTTATCTGTAATATGGGCATCATAGTACCATGTATCACAGAGAGTGGTTGTGATGATCCAGTGAGTTAAAGCATCTAAGCACTTAGGTAAGTGCTTGACTTATAGTAGATGCTCAAGGAATGTGCCCTATTATTTGGTTGGTGTTTACAAGAGAGGACCTAGAATCCTGGTACAAAGGCGGTGCAGGGGGCGGGGTGGGGGGGAGAGGGGAGTTCATCATCAGGGAACAGTGAAGTGAGATGGAAGAACCTTAAGAGGTTGTGAGAGTTGCCCCGTTCACCTGTGCAAGGACTAGTTATCCATTCAGACATCATTCTAACACTTACGCAACTTCGCATTTCATTTTGTCATTTTACACATGGAGCTAAATCTAGGAACCCTAGTTTTAACTTAGCAATTAGAATGGTTGAATCCAGAATCGTCTCACCTGGGTTTGAATCCTGGCTCCATGAAGGGGCCTTGGGTAAGTGTTTTCATTTCTACAAGTTTAAGTTTTCTCATCCGGCAAATGAGGATAAAAAGAAAAACTTTTACCTTCTACCTGTTGTAAGAATTAAATGAAAACAAAATCACTTGACATGCTTAAATCAGTGCCTGTCACATAGTGAGTGCTTAGTGTGTGGTAACTACTGTTTTCTTGTTGAAAGTATTATTGAAATATTTTTACTCTGTGATGTGCTTTTTAAAATATACTTTATTGTGAAATGTATCATACCTATAGAAGAGTGTAAAAAGATTTATATAGATTTTAAAAAATGAGGTGAACACCTGTGTACTCACAACTGCAGATTAAACAATAAAACATTGCCAGTTCCCCAGAGTCCCCTGCAAGCCTTCTTAAGCACACCCCTGTCCCTCTCCTCAAGAGGTTACTGCTCTCTCCAACTTTGGGTCATCATATACTTTATTTACTTCATCATTTTAGTTCTTATAAATGCACCACTTAACAGTATGTTGTGTGTATGTGTGTGTGTGTGTGTGTGTGTGTGTGTGTGTCTCCTGTGTCTTGCTTTTTGCGTTCAACAGATGCAACTGGATTGATGTGCATAGCTCTAGTTCATTCAGTTTGATTTCTGTATAGCATTTTATTATATCAACACGTTACAATTTATTTTGTTCTATTTATTTCTATTGATGGGCATCTGGACTGTTATCGATTGGTTGCTATTACAAACACTACTGCATAGAACATTCATTCATGTACATGTGCCCTGAGGTGCACATGAAAATCTGGAAGATTCTTCAGGAAGTGAAGCCTAGGAGTGACGCTCCTCAGTTGTAGGTTATGTACACTTGCAAATTTATTAGGTGATGGTAAACACTTCTCTAAGTAGCAGCACATGAAGGAGTTTTTGACATACATATTTTGGGTTCTCATAAAAATTACTCTAAGGAGTAGTCTGTCTCATATTTTATAGTTTTAATATAAAATCCAAATGACTCCCTTCTCTTGGTCTTGATACCCATTTCCATTGCATGCTGTGTTTCTGCCTTTCATGCTTTATTGTTACTGTATCTTGTCTTCTAGATTGTCATCTTCGTGAGTACAGTGGATATGGCTTTCTGACTTACCATCCTTTCCTCAGTCCTTGGAACATAGTAGGCACTTAATAAACACTTGTTGAAAGACAAAATTGCATGGACAATCCAAGGAAAAGAGAAGATCCATGCAAAGTAATTGAAGCTTCAGGATTAGGAGGAAAACATCATGGCTTCTAAGCTTATTTGAACCATCTAATACGGAATCACGTTTTCTTTTCAAAACAAGTAACTATTTTGTTTTATCACGTACCAAATACTGGTCACAAATATTTCAGGCAACAGGAAAAAAAAATGTTGCCAGATATGGCAGGCACTGGAAATTTATAATTTGGTGACTTCATAAAGATCTAATCATGCCAACGTTACGTTTCCAAGCATTATTTTATGAAGCACTCCATTTATAGGGAATCTCGTAGCCAGAATTTATTGTTTGTTTAGATGTTTCCAGTGCCCTCATCACTGAGGTCCCTGGCTGCATGTGTAGTAGATTAAGAGATACAATAAACTAAAAAGAATAGACCAAGCAACACATACTAGATCTAGGCCAAACTAAATAAATATGTCTATTTCTAAGTGCTGGAGTTCAACAAGAACAAAAACAAATTCTTACGTATAAAATAAGTAAAATTTTCATAAGAGAGATACTTCAGCTTTAACTTGTTCTGAGTTTGTCCAAGTTGTTTAATCTATCAGCCAGTATTCATAATTATTTTATATCTTTGAATTATATTTTGAAAATAATATGGGGCCACAAGGAAGCACAATCAAGAAGTGAAAAGTGAAATTTCCCAAGGTGTGAATTAAGGACAAGGCATGTACTCCCAATTCAGAACGAACGATTCTAAAATCCCATTTGAGTCTGCTATTCATGAAATCAACAAGTATGAAACAGAACTAAATGCAATTCCTCCTAGTGTCAGGTTAAAAGCCGAATTCCCTGGGTTCAATTCCTAGCTGTATGATGGTGGATGCAT